GGCTCATGAATGAGGTACTTCGCCCCTTCATTGGTAAATTTGTTGTTGTTTATTTTGATGACATACTTGTTTATAGAAAATGTGAACTTGATCATGTTAAACATTTGAGGCAAGTATTTGAAATATTGTGAAGTAGGCGAATTTTTGCCAAGTTGGAAAAGTGCACTTTTATGATGGATAGTATTGTTTTTCTTGGCTATGTGATTTCGAATGTAGGGATCTCAATGGACCCTAGTAAAGTGGAGGCCATTAAATCTTGGCCTACTCCTACTACTCTCACTCAAGTTAGGAGTTTCCATGGACTAGCTTCCTTCTATCAAAGGTTTGTGAAGAATTTTAGCACTATTTTGGCCCCGGTGACCGAATGCATGAAGAAGGGTACTTTTGAGTGGACACCATCGGCTCAAAGGGCTTTTGAGACCCTCAAGAATAAATCGTGTGAGGCTCCAATCTTAGCTCTTTCGAATTTTAATCAACCCTTTGAAGTTGAATGTGATGCTAATGGGGTTGGAGTTGGAGCGGTTCTTGTGCAAGGAGGGAGGTCGGTTGCCTATTTTAGTGAGAAGATTGGTGGAGAAAGAATGAGGTATAGTACCTATGACAAGGAGTTCTATGATATGGTGAGGGCTCTTGATCATTGGTCACATTACTTGAGGCCTAGACCATTTGTACTACACTCCGATCATGAATCTCTCAAGTACATCAATGGTTCTCATAAACTCAATGCAAGGCATGCCAAATGGGTTGAATTCCTTCAATCATTCACTTTCTCTTCTAAGTACAAGGAAGAGAAGAGCAATGTTGTTGCCGATGCTCTTTCTAGGAGGCATTGTATGATCACTATTCTTGATGCAAAGTTTATAGGGTTTGAGTTGCTAAAAGAGTTGTATCGCGATGATGAGGATTTTGGTGGGTTGATGAGGAAGTGTGAGGAAGGGGTCGATGGTTCTTTCATGGTGCAAGAGGGTTTCCTTTTCAAGGGAAACAAGCTTTGTGTTCCAAAATGCTCTCATCGACGGTTGCTTGTTAAGCAAGCTCATCAAAGAGGAGTAGCCGGACACTTTGGGGTTGCAAAAACATATGACATTCTTCGAGAGCACTTTTATTGGCCGAAGATGTTTGGTGATGTGCAGGATGTGATAGCTCGTTGTGGGGATTGTCACAAGGCTAAGAGTCAATTCCTTGAAGGACTCTACTCTCCTCTTCCGATCCCTAGTCACCCTAGGGATGATCTTAGTATGGATTTTGTGGTTGCTCTCCCTCGCACTCAAAGGAAAAATGATTCCGTGTTTGTTGTGGTTGATCATTTTAGCAAGATGGCTCACTTCATTCCTTGCAACAAGACTGATGATGCTTCTCATGTGGCTACCTTGTTTTTTTTAGAGAAGTGGTGAAACTTCATGGCATTCCAAAAAGTATTGTGTCAAACCGTGATTCTAAGTTCTCGAGCTACTTTTGGATGACTTTGTGGAAGTTAGTGGGAACCAAGCTCTTGTTTAGTACCTCTAGTCACCCTCAAACCGATGGCCAAACCGAGGTGACTAATCGAACCATGTCCATCCTTCTCCGAGCTATCATTAGCAAACACATGAAATATTGGGATCTTAAGCTACCTCAAGTTGAATTTGCTTACAACCGCTCTCATTGTATAGCTACTGGGAAAACACCATTTGAAGTAGTGTATGGTTTCAATCCCCGCCTACCACTTAAATTGTTCCATAGTATCCCTCAAGACGAGTTGAGCTTTGAGGCGAAAGATAGAGTTGAAACGATGAAAAAGCTTTATGAAGATGTCAAGAAGAGAATTGAGAAGGCGAATGAGAGTTACAAGGCAAGGGAAAAAAAATTCAAGAAGCCAAGGGAATTCAATGTAGGTGATCTTGTAAGGCTCCATCTTCTGAAGGAAAGGTCCTGGCTAAGAGAAAGAACAAGCTCATGCCAAGATCCGAAGGCCCCTTTGAAGTTGTGGAGAGAGTTGGACCTAATGCTTACAAGCTCAAACTACCAGGAGACTTTGGTATTCATGCTACCTTTAATGTTGGTGATCCTGCTCCTTTTCTCTTTGAAGATGATATTGGTGATGATGATCCGGAATTGAGGGAAATTCCTTTTGAAGAGGAGGGGTTTGACGCGGGTGCATGGAACTTAGTGGAAGATGTGCCACATGTCGTGACACAAAGTCGGGCCAAGCTCCTTGGAGATCACCTTTCGGGGCTAACAATCATTATATGATTCAAATAATTTATTCAGCCATATCTCCTTCGTTACAAGGAATGTTTAGGTAATTCAAGTTGGAGGTGAAATTAGAGTTCAAGAGCTTTCCAACGACTGGTCACATGCCAAATTTGAGCAAGAAACGAAGAAGTTATGAACGTTTGGAGTTGAGCTGTCCAGGAGCAGGGGAGTTCGACCGAACCAAAGCTGGTTCGCCCGAACTTCCAGGCAGTTTCAGACCTGATTTTTGCATCCTTGCAGGAGTGGACGAACTCCAAAAGTTCGACCAAGTTCCTCTAACTATGCAAATAGAGAAGAAAGGGTCGATCCACTGGGAAATAAATCTTTCTATTCCTAATTAAAATAATATAAATCATAAAGTAATTAAATTATACATATAAGGAATTAAACTAAGGGAAATAAAAATAGAGAGAAATCAATTAATAAAATCCTAGGGCATAAGTTCACCAATAAATAATATTCCAAGGTAAAATATAATAATCAATCATCAATGCATCAATTAATCAGATCATAAAGGGCTTTCGCTACGTATTACAATCACAAAGTTAATTTACCGATATTAAATCTCAGCTCTCGAATCTCGACTTAACCATTTATAAATTAGTCCGCCTATTGAAACTAAGCCTAAACATCAATTCTCATCTCTCGAATCTCGAATCAATATTGCATAACTCATACAATTAAACCATGCTTAATCTAATTTCATAGCATTGGATGCTGAAGCGGCTGCTCATCGATCTGAACTAGCTATCACTGATTCTCACACTGTACCTCCCCCGAAACATAACGCACATAAGGATGGTGAAGATCGAAGCTCTTTTTCTGGGAAGTTAGCTGCTAAGGGAGCTCCTCTGTTCTTCGTTGCACCGATTGTTCAAAATGGGAAGCAGGTTGCTCAGCTTAAGGAATCTGAACTCGTGGAAGGTAATAGGAAATGGTCTAATGCTTTAGTTTTTTATGTTGTTGGTCATTACCCTACTATTGCTGCTGTTCATCGTTTCATAGTTCAAAAATGGTGTGATGTGAAAAAACCAGAAATTTTTTGGCATGATGATGCGTATTTTATCATTAATTGTTGCTCAGTTAGTGATAAGGATACTATTCTTTGTTCTGGTCCGCAAATGTTCATGGGAAAACCAGCAATCATTAAACCTTGGAGTCCTAAATTTGATTTTGGTGCGGAGATTTTGAGAAGTATTCCTATTTGGGTTAAGTTCCCAAACTTACCTTTAAATTGCTGGGGTTCTGAAACTCTTAGTCGTATTGGTAGTTTTCTTGGAGTACCAATTTGCTCTGATGAATGTACTACAAGAAAACTAAGAGTTTCTTTTGCTAGAGTTCTAATAGAAATTGATGTTACCAAGCCATTGCCTAAGTATGTGTTTGTGGAAAGCCCCTCGAAGGAAATTCTGGAACTCAAGGTAGTTTATGAATGGAATCCACCCTTTTTCTCTAAGTGTAATAAAGTGGGCCATGATTGTTATGTTAAAGTGCCATCAGCTCCTAAGCATTCGATGGCTGCAGCTCCCAAGCAGTCAGTAAATGTAGTTCCTAAAGTGCAGCAAGTCTGGGTTCCTAAGCCTAGTCAAGCTCTTCCTGTTGTTGATGTTGATGCTTCTGTTCATGGGCAATCTGTTATCACCCCATAGGTTCATACTTCTCAAAACTCAGATGAGGGGTGGAGAATAGTGGGAAAGAAGACAAAAAGCCAACAAATTAGGGTTAATCAGCCTGCTTCTACCTCTAATGCTTTTGTTGCTCTATTTGCAAATGAAATGGATGGTGCAGGTGGTTCACGATAAATCCAAGCGGGGGTGAGGTTAATCCCCCTTTGGTGTCATGATTTACTCTATATGGAATGTCAGGGGCCTGAATGACCCTGGCAAGGTTGCCTCTGTAAGGAGGTTGCTTCATTCTCATTCAGTTGATGTTATTGGTCTTCTTGAAACAAAAATCAAATCAAACAATGTTCTCACTTATCAGAAGAAGTTTGGCTCTTCTTGGCTTTGGATGTGCAAATATGATCATTCTCCCAAAGGGAGGATTTGGCTTGGTTGGAATGCAGATAGAGTAACTGTCAATGTCTTGAAGATTCATGAACAATTTATTCATTGTAGTGTCTCTTCTAAGGATCTTTCTACTCAGATTCATCTCACTATTTTCTATGGGCTTCACTCTATTCATGATAGGATTCCTATGTGGGAAGGAATTAGGAACATCTCTATTAAGCATTCTCCTTGGCTTTGTGCTGGTGACTTTAACTCTGTTCTTCATACTTCAGATAGGCTTCATGGTACTGATGTTACTGATTATGAGACTAGAGATTTCTAGAGTTTGGTTGATGATTTGGACCTCACTGAGGTCAAGAGCAAAGGATCCTTCTACTCTTGGTCAAATAAGGCTCACACTGGTCCTAGAACTCTTTCTAGGATTGATAGAGTCTTTGGTAACCAAGCTTGGCTGGCCTCTCATGGGCATGTTGAGAATGTCTATCTCCCCCCTTCTTTATCTGATCACAGTCCAATTCTGTTGGATATTTGTTCTGCCCCTGCTGGGAGAGGTAGACCTTTTAGGTTTCTAAACTGTGTTGCTGATCATCCTGATTTCCTTGATACTGTTTCTCAGGCTTGGGGTTCTGGTAGTCTGTTTGGCAGAAGCTTAATTCTGTGAAGTCTAGTATCAAGTCTCTTAATAGCAAGCAGTTAGGCAACAATGAGGAGAAGATTGATCAAGCTAATGTTGAGCTTGCTGGAATTTAGAACTTAATGGCTCAGAATCCCGATGATTTGGATTTATATGCTAAAGAATCTGATGCTATTAAGGTTGTCAAACACTGGAATGATATTTAGGAAAGCATCTTCAAACAAAAATCTAGGATCAACTGGATTAAGCTTTGAGATGGCAATTCTCATTATTTTTTCTCAGTGATGAAGAATAGACAAGCAAGGAATAGAATTGAATCCATCTTTGACTCTAACCAGGTTTTGCTTAAGGATCCGGATGCCATTTTTCATGAAGTTATCTCCTTCTATAAGTCTCTTTTAGGGACTCAGGCTCCTTGGCTTCCTGTTGTTGACCTTGTTACTGTGAGGAGGGGTAAAAAACTTAGCTCTATTGCTCAGAGTTATCTCATTCAGCCTGTTTCTCATGCTGAAATTGATACTGCCCTTAAGGGAATTGATAACACTAAAGCTCCTGGTATTGATGGCTTTAACTCCTTTTTCTTTAAGAGAGCTTGGCATATTGTGGAAGATGATATTTATGCTAGTGTTATTGATTTCTTTACTAAAGGGACCTTGCCTAAGCAATGAAATTGCACAACTATCACTCTTGTTCCTAAAATCCCCAATGCTTCCCATGTTAAGGATTTGAGAACTATAGCTTGTTGCACTGTGGTTTATAAGCTCATTTCTAAGGTCATAACTGCTAGACTTGCTGCTATCATTGGTGAGGTCATTGATGATGCCCAAGCAGGTTTTATTCCAAGCAAGCACATTGGTGACAATATCCTTCTTGCAACTGAATTGATCAAAGGCTATGATCACAAATTTATCTCACCTAGATGCATGGTTAAGGTGGATTTGAAGAAAGACTATGATTCAGTTGAGTGGGGATTCTTGATTACTGTTATGCAGGAGAAAGGTTTCCCTCAGAGATTTGTTAGTTGGACCTGGACTTGTCTTACTTCTGTTGATTTGGGTATTTTATACCCGGCTAGGTGGCCCGATCAGAAAGCGCCACGTGTCCTCCATATAGGTGCCATTTGGACCTATGGAAAGATGACACGTGGAGGGTGGACTCTTCTCCGTCCTACGTGGACTGAAGGTCCAACAGGGACTATTCAGGTGGCGACACGTGTCATCCAAAAGGTGCTTTAGAATTCTTTTGGGCATAGTGACACGTGTCACTCTAGCATTGGCCCTGGGATGGCGGCCCTCTAAGGCTCAAATCCCGAGGCGCCGCAAAACGACGTGACCTAATTCCTAGGTCACCAGATCCTAGGAGGGGTACACTTTTGAAAAGGACCCTATAAATAGGGAAATTCTGGCATTTATGACAGACATAGAAACAGAGAGAGAATTTTACACGCAATACGAGACAATACGTCACTAATCACCTGAGCTTGGAATCCGAGCAGATAACTTTATTTCCGCATGTTTTATTACCGAACATTTACTAACTTAATCTTCGGAGGCGCACCCCTGACCATCTGGCGGTCCGTTTGCTTTGCAGGTTTAGGCATCCTCAGTTGAATCCAATTTCAGAGTTGTAACTCTCCCAAGGGACAAAAACCCCCGAAACATTTGGCGCCTTCTGTGGGGAGAGTACTTCTGAAATGGCTTCTCAAGAACCTGTACCAAATCCAGAGGCCATTTGGCCTCCAGATGATATACTGGTCCAAACGGGCCATGACTCAGGGGACGATGCTAACATCAAAACCTATGTGGATCCAAATGGATCCCTCATCCCTAAGCGCATCCGTAGTAAGGAGAGGCGGGAGCGCCACCATGACCAGGCAGGGCCAAGCAAAACTGTTGGTCAGCCAAAGAAGCCCTCGGGGCGGCCGGTTGATCCTTCCTAGGCGACAGGATCAACTCCCATCACTCGGGATGAGCTAATGTCACTCCTGAGCAGCCTCAGGGGTGAAATCAAGCAGCTCGCCTTGAAGAAGTCGCCTGCTCCTAGAAAGGAGCAGTCGGCCAAGAAGCCAGCCCAGGCTGGCAAACAGAAGTCGGTCAGGGATCGTCAGCCGACTCCTCATCCTGCTCCTAAGGAGAAGGCCAGGCCCCAATTTGACCTTAATCGGCTTTGTTTCCCAGAAACGGGCGCAAGAAAACCCATCCGGCACATACAGCCGGATGGTAGCAAGAAAACGTTCTCTGACACTCGGCAATACATTGAGGAGAGGAGAACCCAGCAATCAGAGTCGGCTTCAACGTCGACTTATCATGACAGCTTTCGGAATACCTCTGTGCGGTGTTCACAGTCTGTACATGAGACCCCAGCAAGTAGCCAAAGGGTTCAGTCTGGGTCGCATGTGATTCAGTCCGCCCAGTACATGGCACAACCATTGTACCAGGCGCCAGTTGTACCTTATATGCAACCTACCCTCTATGGAGGACAGGCGGCATACGGCTATCAGCCAATGGACTGGCAGCTTAGGCTGCAACACCTTGGAGATCAACCCTCTGCTTTCTCCAGGGAAATAAATGAAGCCGTACAGCCGGCTAAAGTTAAAAACGTTCTGGTTGGAGCCTATGACGGGACCTCCAACCTAGAAGACCACCTGCTAGCATACACCCACCTCATGTATTTACAGGGGTTGGATGATGCCGCATGGTGTCGTTGCTTTCCAGCAACCCTGAAAGGCATAGCCTAGCAGTGGTTTGGCAACCTGCCGACTGGATGCATAAATAACTTCAAGACGCTTGCGTTCTTGTTTGCATCAAACTTCTCTATGAACATTCCTGCCAAAAAGACAAGTCTTGACTTGGGCAATGTATCGCAGGGAGATAGAGAAGGTTTTCGTTCCTACGTCAGACGGTTCAATCTGGTCCGAATCCAGATTCATGGGCTGTCTGATGAGGTCGCCTTCACAGACTTCCTCAAGGGTCTGAAGGACGGGTCTACGTTTAAGTACGAACTCGTCCGCAAACAAATCTTTACTCTGCAAGGAGCCTTGCGAGAGGCGGAAGCCTATATACAGGCGACCGAACTCTGCTCCTCCAATAAGCAGTCGGACCATAAGAAGTCTGACCGGCAGAAAGAGAGTCGGCCTGCTCAGCCGGCTCCTAAGCCAGAAAAGAGCAAAAAGAAAAAGCAAGTCTGGGCCATTGATAACTCTGATCAACCGGCCCAGAAGAAGAAAAAGGAGTGGAAACCGTACGTCCCAAGGTAAGAATTCCACAAGGACTGCTGCTCCATCCTCTTGGAAATTAAGGATCGGCTAACTCTTGAAAAGCCGACTCCTATGAAAGGTTCCGCTGAAAATCGGAACAAGAACAAGCATTGCCATTTCCATAAGGATGTTGGCCATGACACGAACGACTGCTTTAGTCTCAAGCGGGAGCTCGACCGTCTGGCCGACAAAGGACAGCTGAAGTCCTATGTGAAGTCCAAAGTGACTTCAAAAGCAAATCCGGGGCAGTCTAAGAAAAAGACTCCCCAGCCTGCTGTGAGTGCCGAAACTGATGAAGAGCCGGTGTACACCATAGCAGGCGGATTTGCCGGTGGTGGCCCGACCATTCGGGGTACCAAGGACCATCTAAGAAAGATGGTCAATTCTGTTGAGGAGGGGGATGCATCAAGCGCATCCACCTTCCCTAAAGTTGTCATCACCGAGTAGGACAGAGGCAAAGTCCGTCAACCGCATGATGACCCTGTTGTCATTGAGTGCAAGGTCGCCAACTAGCTGGTGGGCCGAATTCTGATTGACACAGGAAGCTCCTCTGACCTCATCAGCCTCAAATGCTTATCCAATCTCAAGTACAAACCGGATAGCATGATGGAGGTCACCCACACCCTAGTTGGGTTTGGGGGAGGACTTGTGCACCCAGTCGGACGAATTGACCTACCTGTCCGCCTGGGAAGCAGGGGAGACGGTCGACACATGACCATCCGTTTCCTAGTGGTTGAGGAGCTCACGGCTTACAACCTCATCTTTGGCCGTCCCACTCTTAATGAGTGTAAGGCCGTCATCATCCCTGCTCTCATGCTACTTAAGTATGAGAAGGATGATGGAACAGTCGGTTCCCTGAATGGGGACCAAAAGATGGCTCGAGAGTGTTACCTCTCAGACGTCAAGTCCGCGGCCGTAGCATCCGGTCGGGGCAAGCAAACAATCAATCTTCACGATGTCGAGGAAGATCAGTCGGCCCCACCAGCCGAAAAGAAAAGAAAGACTGATCAGCTGGTGGTGGTAAAAAAAAAAAGCAATAGCAATCACTGACCGGGGAACGGTCGGATGATCTTCGTCCCCAGCCTGCTGGTGAACACATTGATATCCCTCTGGACGACAGCCGTCAAGAGCGGACTGTTAAGGTGGAGACGATTGCTTTTTCAAAGCTGGGTGAAAGCCTTCACCAGCTCCTGAGGGAATTCAAAGACATCTTTGCCTTTGAAGTGGAGGAGATGCAAGGCATCAGCCCGGATCTCGCTGTCCACAAACTCGCCGTGGATCCTAAAAAGAAGCCCATCCGGCAAAAGAAAAGAAACCACGGCGAAGAAAGAAGTCAGGCGGCAGCTTCCGAAGTAAAAAAGCTGTTAGATGCCAAGTTCATTCGGCCGTGCAATTTCCCTGAGTGGGTGGCTAACGTTGTGTTAGTAAAAAAGTCGAACGGAACTTGGCGGATGTGTGTTGACTACACAGACCTCAACAAGGCATGTCCAAAGGATAGCTATCCATTGCCTAAGATCGACAGTCTGGTCGACTCAACAGCCGGACATGCCCTGATGAGCTTCATGGACGCCTATTCAGGTTTCCACCAGATCCCCCTGTGGAAAAAAGATCAAGAAAAGACGACATTCGTCACTGATCAGGGGTTGTTCTGTTATACGGTGATGCCGTTTGGTTTGAAGAATGCGCCTGCTACCTTCCAACAAATGATTAATACGGTATTCATTAATCAAATCGGAAGGAATATAGAGGCGTACATCGATGACATGATAGTCAAATCCAAATGGCAGGCGGATCACCTTGCTGACCTCCGAGAAACATTCGCCACACTCAGGCGGCACAAGGTCATGCTTAACCCAAAAAAGTGTGTCTTTGGTGTTGAGTCTGGGAAGTTTCTCGGATTTTTGATTGACCAAAGGGGAATAGAGGCTAACCCTGAGAAAATAAAGGCGGTAATCGACATGCAGTCGCCCCGTACTGTGAAGGAAGTGCAAAAACTAACAGGTTGTCTGGCGGCCCTGGGATATTCCTCAGTCGGTCAAGCGACAAGTGCCTCTACTTTTTCCAGGCAATAAAAAAGAAGACAAACTTTGAATGGGAGAATGACGCAGAGGCGACCTTTTAAAAGTTAAAAACTCATTTGCACTCTTTGCCGAGGCTTGTTTTCCCTCTGCCCAAAGAGACGCTCTTCATGTACTTGGTCGTCTCGGATCATGCCCTCAGCGCTGTTCTCCTAGCTGAAAGAGACGACACTCAGCTCTCGGTCTATTTCATCAGCCATGTTCTTAGGAACGCTGAGCTTCGGTACCCCATGGTTGAAAAATTTGGCCTCGCCCTTTACATTGCCATCAAGAAATTGAAACCCTACTTCTTGGCACATGCGGTAGTGGTCTACACTGACCAGCCAATCAAGCGGCCACTTACAACCTTGGAGTCTTCTGGACGAATGCTCAAATGGACGATTGAAATTGAAGGACTAGAAATCACTTACGAACAAAGGAAGGCAATAAAGGGACAAGCATTTGCTGACTTTATTGTCAAAATGACAAGGCCGGTTGTTCCAGACAATACAGACCAGGTTTGGAAAGTGTATGTGGATGGGAGCTCCACTGTGCACGGCTGTGGTGAAGGGATTATCTATCAGTCTTCTGAAGGAGATAAGTACGAATACGCACTACAGTTTAAGTTTCAGGTCTCTAACAATGAGGCCGAGTATGAGGCCCTGCTGGCCGGCATCCGGTACTGCAAGGCGGCAGGGGAAAGAAGATATCTGCCTGCTCTGATTCTCAACTGGTCGTACTCCAGGTTAATGGAACGTACGAGGCCACTCATCCGGCCATGATAAAATATTTGCAGGCGGTCAAGAGTGAAGTTGGATCACTTGAAGAATTTCATCTAATTCAAGTGCCAAGGTCTTCAAATAATCAAGCGGATGCTCTGTCCATGCTGGCATCATCCGCCTCCTGTGAAACACCTCGGTCA